AAGTTGGTATGTGTTCATTAGAATATGTGAAATTTTTTTAGGGACTATTCAACTTAAAATCTCTAATTTATAAGCTAATATATTCAATATACCATAGGTATAAAACCTCTTGCTATTGAGCTTTATGTATCATAATTTATCTAAGGTAAACACATGACACATTTTCAGTTTGTGATTACAAGCAGGTTAAAAAAATACTCTTTAATTGTATTAAAAATATGATTTAATTGGAGTTTGAAGCATCTGTCTTCATATAGCATTAGAACACCTTAGTATGATAAAAAGTTACCCCAATTTATGATCATTTGAATTTATCCACTCTGAAAACTAACAATTAGATCTAAAACTGTTATGATAATTTAGATTGGTATTCAGTGAAATTTAAATAAATTAAACCATAGTTAAAACCATTGCTGCATTCATGAGTGCCCTCCGGAGAAGGCCTGTGGTGAACCTTTTAGTTCTGAATGCTGAACCTCTAATTCTGCTGCTCTTAGGATGTATTTGTGCTGGACTAACTGATGGTTTCATAAATTTTTAAGGAATTGTACCTTGGTGGCACACTAATAGGCCCTACAAATTATTTTTTAATTGGCTTAGAGCTACAGGAGAAAATCTGGCAAGGTGAGTGTAATATTTGGAAAAAATAAGACCAGTAAGTTACTTTGTAGAGAAAATAAGAATAACCTGATATAAAGCAGGCACTGTAAGTTTGAGCTGTCCTATCTGGAAAAAAAGAAATACACAATATGATTTATTACAGAAGTTAACGTAACACTAGTCCTTAACATTTATGTCTTTACTCACCCCTTACATTTTAACCTGCTGACAGTGTTGGACATCTAAAGAGAAAGCTATGGAATGATAATCTGTTTGATGAGTAGGTGAGATTTCTGACAACACCATCTCTAAAAATAACTTAAAATTGAATACAGCTCTCCAGAAATTAATACAAGCTGAAGTATTCTAAAGCTAATAATATTCTCAAATAATCGTATGCTGCTTTTCATGTATGTCTAATCTCATAGAAACTTACAATAATTGAGAAGTGATCATTGTTAACAGACAACATGAGCAGTGATTTGCTTATTATTCATTGTTACATCTTTGGGTGCAAACTTTACTGTCCAGTAGAGTGGGATAACTTGTGATGAAAGAAGACAGTAATCAGAGCTAGACATATACCCATGTAATCTTTGGCGGATACTCTGTTGTGTTTTTCACAGTCCATTTTACCAAAATAACTCTTGGTGAAGATGGTTTCAAGTTGATCTCACGTACAAGTTCTGCATCACTCCATGACAACACTGATTTGTGAGATCTTCCCACATGTTCCCTCCAGCCTAAATAGGTTCTTCTCATTGCCCTATGGTCCCTGTCTGGTTCTAGAGACTGGTCCACCTCTGCTTTGAGATTTTGTAGACCCATGTAACTGAGGACCTGTCAGACACAGATGACATCATAAAGTAATATTAGTAGACAGTCTAGATTTGGTAACCACCAAGTTCATATCTCAGGGCTTTTTTGTTCCATTTATCAGACTTTAAATTTGGAGAGTGGGACTAAGTAGTGCAGTATATATTTGTCAAGGTAATATAAAACATGTCTATATATTTTACACTGCAAAGTAAAAATCTTATATATATATTTTTTATTTACTTATTTCTGTCGCCCTCAGTAGAGTGCCATGGTACTGCAGCTCACAGCAACCTCCAACTCTTGGACTTAAGTGATTCGCTTGCCTCAGCCTCCTGAGTAGCTGAACTATAGGCATTTGCACTAACAACACCCAGATAAAAAATCTTATATTCTTAAAATATGAAAGCAGTAACCTGGTTTTATAGAAGAACCTACTAATTAAAAAGAACTAATAAAGGCTGGGTGTGGTGACTTAACACCTGTAATCCTATCACTTGGGAAGGATGAGTCAGGAGGATTGCTTGAGGCCAGTAGTTCAGAACCAGCTTGGGGAACATAGGCTTCATTTCTACAAAAAACAAAAAAATTAGCTGAATGTGTAGTCCCAGTTACTTGGGAAGCTAAGGAGGAAGATCCCTTGAATCTAGAAGTTTGAGGCTACAGAGAGCCATAATCACCACTTGACACTAGCCTAGGTGACAGACACAAACCCTGTCTAAATTTTTTTTAAAAGGCTAAGAAAAGACTAACATGTTTCAACTAAATGCTAGTTAGACTTGTCAGTGTGTCTGAAATTGTAACTCAGAGGCAGCAATGCTTCCTTATTAGGACTGATTCAAAAGCAGAAGCTTATGGAAGCATTTAAAGACTACCAACCAATACTACTAGGAACTGAACTGAGAAATCACTGGGACTATATACATTACTTGAGGCGGATTAGTTTTTTCTGTATTTTGATTAATCCTACCATTAACAGGAAACATTTAAGCAGCAGATAAATTTTTTCTATATTTGATGACTAACTTTACCATTAACAGGAAATATTTTAGCTATCCAATACTTAAAAATTTACCTACAAAATAATGTAAGTAAAGGATGGTAGGAGAATAAATACTGTCATAGGAAGAATTAAGACAGCCCTAAATTTTCTTCCATCACTCCTTTGTTACCATATCTACAGAGTGTAATTTACAGATAAAAAGTTAATGGGGAAAAAAAAGAGTTAATGGGATAAAATCAGACTCAGCATATCCTGACATTTAAGAATTTTTCTTAAGGCTGGGTACAGTGGCTCGTGCCTATAATCCTAGCACTGTGAAGGTCAAGGCGGGTGGACTGCTTGAGCTCAGGAGTTTGAGACCAGCCTCAAGCAAGAGCAAGACACTATCTCTAAAAAAAATACCGGGGTGTTGTGGTGGGCACCTGTAGTCCCAGCTACTTAGGAGGCTGAGGCAGGAGAATCACTTGAGCCCAAGAGTTTGAGGTTGCTGTGAGCTGCAATGCTATGGCACTCTACTAAGGGAAACAAAATAAGACTCTAAAAAATTAAATATAGGCTCAGTGCCTACAGCTCAGCAGCTAAGGTGCCAGCCACATACACTAGAGCTGGTGGGTTTGAACCCAGCCCAGGCCTGCCAAACAACAATGACAACTACAACCAAAAAAGAGCTGGGTATTATGGCAGGTACTTGGGAGGCTAAGGCAAGAGAATCACTTAAGCCCAAGAGTTTGAGGTTACTGTGAGCTATGATGTTACAGCACTCTACCCAGGGCAGCAGCTTGAGACTCAAAAAAAGAAAAAAAAATCTGGAAGAAGGGAAAATGTAGGGGAAAAAACAAGACAAAGGTAGTGTCTCAATATATTCCACACAATGGTAAAATAAGGGCCGTGGACCCACCTGTACCTGCAGATCCCCTACCAGGTCGGGCCTGATGAGGATACTCAGCTGCATATGAACGATGATGCTGTGTATCCAGCTAAAAGAAAAGAGACAAGACATACTTGATAATGCAACTTCTCCCAAAAGATAACACAGTAGCATCTCCATAGTTGACCAACTCCTTAAGTTGACTTTAAGTTTCATAGAAGACACACGTCAGTACAATAGGCCTAGTTATGTTGACTACCTCCCTATGTTGACCAGTTAAGTCCCTCAGGTGGTCAACTTAGATTGTACTGTGCTTTACAAAGTTCATAGAGGAAAACCTTGAAATTGATGGCAATGGGAAAAGTTGACTGCACTGTGTCGAATCCCAAGTAGAAAATCCCAAGCCAGATGCTGACAAAGCCATTTGTTAATTCATAAAAATAACAAATTCTGCAATTTTGTTAATATACCTTTAAGGAAATCTTAGCATTTATAAATCTGCATGGCTTAATATTTTAGTTAGAATCCAAGGAAGTTTTATCTGATTTCTACTCAGATATTTCTACACTAGCTATTACAAGTGCTAGGATTTTAGGCATGCGCCAATGTGCCCAGCCTACTTTTCAGCTTTATGAAACTCGGACATTTCAGAATTATCTCAAGGAATTTAAAGATGTAATATGACTAAAATATTAAATTGCAAATATTCAGGGCTGGGCATCGAGGTGGTAGTGAGCTATGTGGTTGTGCCACTGCACTCCACCCTGGACAACTGAACAAGACATCTCAAAAAATGCAGATATCCAATAAAGAGCCATATATGCTATCCTCTTAGGGCTTCTGTAATAAAAACATCATTCATTAACCTATAAACACTGAAATTGAGAGATTTAACTAATTTTTTTCTGGTGAAGCTCCCATATTCTAGAGCTCAGGGGTCAGTAAACTTATTTTTTGTAAAGGACCAGATGGTTGTAACTACTCAACTTTCCTGTTGTATGAAAGCAGCCATAGACAGTATATTACCAAATAAGTTTGTTGCTCTGCTTCAATAAAACTTGATTTACAAAAATCAGGCAGCAGACTGAGTAGCCTGTGAATTATAGTTTACTAACCCTTATTCTAGATGAAAGCACCAGGGAGCACAGCTAGCACTCTTTAAATTGAGCTGTTAGCTATCTCCCTTTTTATAACAACAAATGAGGAAAATGGCTATGGTAAGTAATTTTTACTTTGCTTTTGTTATAAACTTAAGAAAAAGAGAAACTGAAATGTTTTCATGTGTTTGGTATTCCGAAGACAACCAATAATTGGTGTTAAATAGAAGGGAATGCAGCTATAGAATATATTCAAGTACTGCTTAACAAATATCCTGGATCAGATTATGAGAAGACAAATTCAATAAAATTCTCAAACTTTCTGGGTTCACATGTGGAACTTCCAGAATTAGAAATGATATACATTTCCTTTTTGCCCTTATTTTTGGAGAGTTTCTTCATAAATTAAGTATTGGAGACCTGCTGGATTCATAGTGTCCCCCACAAATTCATGTCTACCTGGAACCTGTGAATGTGGCCATATTTGGAAATATGGTCTTTGCAGATGTAATCAAGTTAAGGTGAAGTCATAATGGATTAGGGTGGGCTTTAAATTTAGTAACTAGTATCTTCATAAGAAGAAGGGAACATGGACACAGATACATAGGTCATGTGATCACAGGCAGAAACTGGGGTGATGCAGCTGCAAGCCAAGAAACACCAACAATTGTTTGCAGGTAACCACCAGAAGCTAGGAAGAGCAAGGTTTCCATAGAACCTGCAAAGGGAACATGGTTCTGCTGACACTGATTCTGGACTTCTAGCTTTTGGAACTATGAGAATAAATTTGTTTTAAGCCACCCAGTTATTGATCATTTGTTATAGCAGACCTGGACAACTAATACAAAGTCCCATTCATTTATTATTCTACCACTCTTCTAGTAGAAGAAAGGTAGTACAGCACTTTAAGCTGATCAGTTAAAGATTTATGAGTTGGGATAAGTGAGTTGTAAACACTCCCACCCTGAAAACTGGTGCAGATGTGAGAACTTGGGTAATTCCCAAGGCTCTCCAAGGCCTCTTGCCATAGAACAGATTAGGTTGTATTGAGCTCCTGGACTACAAATGGGGAAGGTGAGTACATTAATCACAATTTCCCAGCCATGTTTTTTCTATTACTTGCTCAAAAGGGTTAGTAAATGCAAAGTAAATGGGATGGTAGTGTCAGCATTTAAAACTCCAGTGGAAAAAGAAAAGCCCTAAACTGGGGATGGTGGTAAATGCCTGTAGTCCTGGCTACTCAGGAGGCAGAGTTGAGAGGAAGGCTTGAGCCTAGGAGTTCAAGTCCAGCCTGGACAACATAGCAAGACTCCATCTCTAAAAATTAAAACTTGGAACTCATTCATCACTAGTCCTCATAATAGGATACCACTTCTGATGTAATTCCATAAGAGCAGGGTTAGACAATGAAAAATTATTCTGATCTGATATGCACTGGAATTTAACATTTTTGCTTATGCTGGGAAAAGTCTAAATTGTTAGAATTTATAATTTCTGTGTAAGCCATTTTACTGACAAAAAAGTGAGTGGCAGGAACATTCTACATTGTTTTAGCATTTCAACAAAATGTACTTGTAACACTTTTTAGCGTTAGTACATCAACTTTTATTTTTAATTAAGCCACTAGGTAAAGTCTGAAGTCTACTAAACTAGTAAATTTTTTCCCTTTTCTCTCCCCAACTATCAAGACCATATTAGGAAGTATGTCACTCTACCAAAAACGACTGAGTTGTGTTGGGCCTGGAGAAAAAGTCAGGTAAAAGGTGCCTCTCTTGGGGCTGCTGATGGTTGGGCTCATCCACCACTGCACTTCGAGCTCGACTGGAATCACTGTGGGGTTTCTGCAAAGGAAATGAAAGTTACAGAAACAATTAACACAGTAACTGCCACACCAGAAAAGAAATTTTTTTCCCCTTGAGGCCATGGTGTTTTATTATGAAAATAGAGTTAAAACTGTGAAAACAAAAATATCTTAAAATATCCATGAATAAAAAAAGTAATATAAAAACTTAATGATATAAAAAGTACTGTGTAAATTTGAAAAATAGTTATAAAAGTGTTGTTCTTGACTTGTCAGTCTTAAGTGTAATTTAAAGGTAAACAAGTAGAAAAACATAATTTATTGACTTCTCATTCTAGAAGAATTTTAGATCTGAGTTTAGTTTTTAGAATTAAATTGTCAATATTGATTCTAACAATAACAGTAAGAAAGATTTTCATGAATCAAGTGCAGGGTTTTGCCCCCCATTATGTAACATGTAAAGTTAGGAGACCTGTGAATTATATATCCTTCCTGAGAACCTGGGCTCCAGACCAGCGTGAGTTAAGTATAACTCACACCGCAGTTAATGTGTTAAACTATTAGTAATGGGAACTGTGCGTGTCCTGCGTCAACCTAGGCAGGTGTGATAACTGCAGGCAAGCAGCTCCAATTCCATTGTCAAAAATTAGTGCTCAGTTTGTACTTGTGTGGATAAAATAAAGTATAAATCAAGACCAGAGCACAAATCTTACAGAATTACTGCCCATGAGGTTTCATAAGAAGCACAAGGAAGGACAACATGAAAGAGACATACCGTTTGCTTTTGTGGCCCCACAGTGCTCAGCTGTTCAACTTCAGCTGTGCCAATAGGTGGCAGCAGGTTATTTCGACTGAGGGGCATTGGTGAGGGAGAAGAGAGGGAGTCGGCTGCCACTGGCCTGTAGATCCCACCAGGGAACACCAAGGTATGAAAGCATTAAGTTATAACAATACCAGCAAATTGATAAGAAATCAAATAAATAAAGAAAATGAGTTTAATAATATTTTCTGATTTTTAAAAGGCTCTATCCAGGGCATGTAAGAGAAGTTGACTCTCACAGAATTGAAATGATAAAATAATTTTCCCTATCTGGTGTTGTACTTCTCTGTCAATTTAGGGTCTGTAAATTCACATCTGATCGGATTCTCGACAGTTTGAACCTTCCAGTTGTCCTTTACCTAATAACTGCAATTCATAAGTAGAGGGGTTTTTTTTTGAGACAGAGTCTCACTGTGTCACCCTCGGTCAAGTGCTGTTGCATCACAACTCACAGCAACCTCAAACTCTTGGGCTTAAGCTATTCTTTTGCCTCAGCCTCCCAAGTAGCTGGGACCACAGGTGCCTGCCACAATGCCCTGCTATATTTTTTGTTGTTGTTGTTGCAGTTGTTTAGCTGGCCCAGGCCGGGTTCGAAGTCGCCACCCTTGGTATATGTGGCTGGTGCTGTAACACTGTACTATGGGTGCTGAGCCACAATTCAAGTTCTTAAACTTTCATTCCCTTCAAAGGGATTTGGAATGGCTTTTAGTGTCACTTGTACCTAAGACAGTAATTGAAATGGAATGAAATTTTCATATTCCAGAAATAACAGAGCAGGGAACACTAGCAAAAAAAAATAGAAACAAGCACTATCAGAATGAGAGATTATACATCAAAGCCACTCATCCTCAAATGAATGAATCTATAGCTCTGTTGGTATAGGTATGCTACAGCCACAAAATAAAGAAGCTGAGAAGGTGAGAACATTGGTGGCCTGACAAAGATTTTTGGTGGTTTGAGAAATCATTTTTTGTGAATTTGCTGGGATAAATTTTAACAAACTGGAAAATCAAAATCAAGAAACAGCAACTTAGGAGAGCAATATAGCAGTACATGCTTAACTTAGAAGCTGAATTCAGTACACAATACCTTAATATCCTTGGTCATAGTCTTAGAAATCCAGCATGCTAAGATTTTGTAAATCAATAACTAAAAGAATTCTAAATATTGGCCTCTAGGGGC